AGAGGCAGCCCCACTAGTGAACAGACCCGAGGCTTAGAGAGATCACTCTTCTAGCCAAATCGATGTCCAAAAAACTAAACAAAGGAATCACAAGCTTTAAGAAGTTTTTGATAAAAGAAGTGATTGCTTTATTGAGAATTTCGTGCTCCCTTTATATATGACTTACTAGTTGTGAAAAATAGAAACAAATGTAGAAAACTAGACAAAGACTTGTGTAAAAACTAGAAAACAAAGAACTAGGCAAGACTTGACCAGGATTGAACGTTTTGTTGAATGATGGTTGCTTGCTTACAACCAAGACTGATTTGCTGACTTCTTTTGGATATTTTCTTGATGAAATGGGTCAGGCACATAATGAAGTTGTTATGATCTTTTCTTGGGCTGTAGCACTTCATCTTGGCCACTTGATCCAAAACAGCTTCAAATGATTTCTTGGACTTGAATTTCGTGGCTGGCCTTTCAGGAAGAGAGTTTGGATCTTTAACTTGGGTTTTGAACTTCTTTTGGGCTGATAAAGTCAGGTCAGAATCAGGAACAAGCTTGGGCCGAAATTATCTTTTCCAGAAGCTAAACCAGCTCCTTCTTCAGTGTCACTCTCACTCATCTCCTTTCCAGCTCCTGGTTCAGTGTCACTTAGCTCACCCAGCTCATTCAGCTCATCAACTCTTACTTCAGCTGGTTTCAGCTCATGAACACTTCCTTCAGCTAGTTCCAGCTTGTGTACACTCTGTTTCAGCTCGTCCACAGTCTCACCAGCTGGTTTTACGTCAGAAATCTTGTCTTTCATCCATCCTGGCTTGTCCTTTGTTGGATATTCAGCTGTCTCGGTCAGGGTTACATCATCATTTCCTCCTTTAAAACGATTTTTTCTCAAATCTGTATCTCCTACATCATGAAACAAGTAAGAGGTGAGACAGATGATCAGAAAATAAGCATAAAAGGAAAATTAAAGAGAAGTTTAAGAATGGGACTTCCTTGGAGTTTTGAAGTCGATTTATCAAGAACTTCCAGCTCCTTATATTAGGCTGATTAACATGGTCTTTGCTCTCGTTTTGTACACTTCTTTGGGACTGGACCTGTTGATCCTGGATACTCAAAACAGAGACTATAGTTCCAGAATTACTAGTGAAAGACATGTTCCTTTGCAGACCAAAAATAAAACATTCCTTCCATAGAACATGTAGCACATGTTTCTGACAAAAAATCACTTATCAAAGTAAGTGTTATAAACAAGAATGATTCCGAGGCATGCATTAACATAGAACAATTTCAAAACGTGCCTAACTTGATCAGATTCAAACCACAAAAGTTTAAGTTCAAGATCATAATCAGTTAGCACATGTCTCCAAGGTTCAGCATGATTTTCAAAGAATGTGTTGTACACTAATATATCATCAGTGCTCAATACAGCATCATTCTTCAAGCATGATCCCAAAACAAACCAAGATTTATCAGCTTCAGAACAAGAATGAGCAGGTTGCAAAATAGAATCAAAATCAAACTCGATTTCAGCTCTAAATGGTTTAGGTTCATGCAAATTCCTAACCATAAATTCTTCTAATGCATATGTGGTTGCAAACAAATCACCAGTTACTATTTTATGCTTAGAAAAACTCAGAACAAAATTATTTTCTTTAAAAACAAATGAATCAACGATTTTCTAGAACATAAAACAGGTTGTTGCAGAACAAGCACTAATGACTTTTCTGGAAGATTAAAGATGTTGCCATGTTCCATAAACTGATCAAGACTCGAAACAAGACTAGGATTGATGTTATGATCACAGTGAAAACGTTTTTGATCAGAAAATTTATATGGTTCAAGTTTCTTAAAAGAATAAATCATGTTATGAAAAACAGAATTTGAAACACAAAATTCTTTTACTTTGTCTAGATCAAAACGTTTTACATCATAGTCATAACAATCATTTCAGGCACAGAATTAACCAGACCAAGTTCCTTACAGTGCTCTTGAGAGTCCAACTAAAATGACTTATCATTAGTTTCTGCTGTTGTTTGGCTGCTCCAAGACTTCTTCTGGTTGTGAATTCTTTTGTGCTTCTTCTGCTGAGTTTTCTGAGGCTTGAGACACTGAAACAAGGCTACTCGGTTGCACCGGTTCAAAACAGGTTAGTTCATCACAAGAACTACTAAAAAAAAGCTCGGATTGAGGAGATACAAGAGAAAACTCATGTTCTATCTCATGTTCTTTTATTACCTTAGATGGCTTGGGTTTTAGCTCTTGTATAATCTGCTCCTGCTTGCTACAACTCCTTGGGTCAGCAGCTCTTGAGGAAGGACGGGTGCTCTGTCTTCTTTCCTTCTCTAAATCCTTAAATATCTGGTTTCACATATCAGTAATGTTTTGGGGACTACTCATCCGTTTAAGAGCTCTACGCAGCAACTCCCGATCATCACGACCATGTACAGGTTTTTCTTCTTCTTTGGATAGTTTGAATTGTCCCCTGATCCTCCTAATAGGCATTTCCATCAGCCTCCCTGGCCGTGATCTTTCCTGCAAAAAATCAGATTGGTTAAAACCCAAATTTTCTTTACTTAACAAGTGCTGTCTTTTTTCCAGAAAATTCTTAGTGGAGGAACTAAATTGGTCTGGCTGTGAATTTCTCTCAGGACGTCTGGTAACACTGGATACATCCTGGCTCTTCCTTTTGATCTCAGCTTCTTTCTGAACCTGTGAAACATTAGCAAAGTGATCATCAATTTTTCTTTTAGATCACAAAGTATCATTAAATTGTTTCATGATCTGAGACATCATTCTTTCCATCTGCAAATTATTCAACTTCACAGTTGGTGTCTCCTTTATTTTACTGGCATCTCCAGCCATAGTTTCCTGTTACAATCTCAACAAAGAAAATTCAGTACACAAAAGGTAGCCGAAGCCTCACTTAGTGTTTCTCTCGAGTGTTTTTAGTGCACTCTGTTTTCTGTTGTGATTCCAGGAGTTCAGTAACCAAACAAACAACTCAAACCAGAAAGAGAAAATTCCCAAAACACCCCAAACAGAGAGATATACAGTATTAAGAGATTTTGTTTGCAAGGAGCTTTACCACCAGAGACTGGATTTCTCTTCAGTATGGTTGGATTTCTCTTCAGCCTTTTGATACTTTGATCTTTTGTTTCTTTTTTCTTTGTATAAACTGGTTGGCGCCCTTGCAGATACAACAGATAGATAGAGAAGAACAGAGAAGAACTTCCAGAGAAATTGCAAAGAAACAGAGAAAAGTAGGTTCCCAAAAACAGAGAAGAAAAATCGACATAACCCCTTATGATCAGACGCCCTCAAGCTGCTCTGATACCACTTGATAGCTTCTTGGTCAAGGAAGAACCCTAGGATGCTCTTGCGGGTCGATCTAAACAGGTTTTGATGGTGATAGATCTGGTAATTAGCACTGATGGTAAGATGATCGATTGATGATTGATAGAAGGGGAGTTGATGGTCGATGGTAGAGATGAACTTCAGTGTATCGTTTACGGAATAACCAAGCACTTTCAGAAGGTCTGATGGTAAGATGGTGATAGATCTGGTAATTAGCACTGATGGTAAGATGATCGATTGATGATTGATAGAAGGGGAGTTGATGGTCGATGGTAGAGATGAACTTCAGTGTATCGTTTACGGAATAACCAAGCACTTTCAGAAGGTATTAGTCCGTGAGAGGCAGCCCCACTAGTGAACAAGACCCAAGTCTTAGGGAGATCACTCTCCTGGTCAAATCGATGTACAGAAAACTGAACAAATTAAGGAATCACAAGATTTAAGAAGTCTTTGATAAAAGAACTGATTGATTTATTAAGAATTTCGTGGTCCCTTTATATAGGACTTCCAAGTTGTGAAAACTAGAAACAAATGTAGAAAACTAGACAAAGACTTGTATAAAAACTAGAAAACAAAGAACTAGACAAGACTTGACAAGAATTGAGTGTTTTATTGAATAACCCTTGCTTGCCTACGACCAAGACTGATTTGCTGACTTCTTTTGGATATTTTCTTGATGAAATGGGTCAGAAACATACTGATAAAAGCCCTGGTCAAAATTGGCTTGAGACAAGCCCATAATGAAGTTGTTATGATCTTTTCTTGGGCTGTAGCACTTCATCTTGGACCACTTAATCCAAAACAGCGTCAAGTGATTTCTTGGACTTGAATTTCGTGGCTAGCCTTTCAGGAGGAGAGTTTGGATCTTTAACTTGGGTTTTGAATTTCTTTTAGACTGAGAAAGGCAGGTCAGAATCAGCAACAAACTTGGGCCGAAATTATCTTGTCCAGCAGCTAAACCAGCTTCTTCTTTAGTGTCACTCTCCCTCAGCTCCTTTCCAGCTCTTGGTTCAGTGTGACTTAGCTCACAAAAATTCAGCTCATCTACTCTCACTTCAGCTGGTTTCAGCTCATGAACACTTCCTTCAGCTAGTTCCTGCTTGTGTATACTCTGTTTCAGCTCATCCTCAGTCTCACCTGGTTTTACCTCAGAAATCTTGTCTTTCATCCATCATGGCTTGTCCTTGGTTGTATATTCAGCTGGCTCGGGCAGGGTTACATCATCTGCTGCCTACCAAGTGGATTAAATGGCAAAAGAAACTTGAGCTCAGTGATTCACCCATGGCTCCAGATGGTTCTCCACAACCCTCACTGTATTGGTGCTCCGAGAATCATGGGATAAATTCATGGAATAGTCTATGAATCCAATAGTTTTAAAGATTGGTCCTACAACCTTTAATATAACCGTAGCTACAAGGATAGTTGCTGGAAAATAACTTGGAAGCGAAGTATTGCTTTCTTTATTATATAAGGTTGAATATGGGACTATCTTCGTAACACATCTTTGATGCTGCATTGATTTTTTTCCTCTTGAATATTGAGGAAATGGATGCGGTCATGTATATATGACGAGACAAGACATATTTGAGGTGTTGGAAACCAGACCATGGTTCTTTCATACCCGCCTATTTATGCCTTCAAATTCAAAAAGCATACTCGTGTTTATGGGTAGCAAAAGAGCCTATGAATTAGCCGATATTCTTCTTGCTTACGGGAGAGGAGGGCTTCCATCTCATGGGCGGACTAATAAAGTTTGGGGTGTCGATGTTGATCGTCTCTACTTTCCTCTGTTTGTAAATCGTAATCATCATTGGTCATTATTTACACGTCTCCATTTACATCCCCGTATTTACAGATTTAGTAATGTTTTATGCAGGGAATCACTGGGTTTTTGTATGCGTCAATATCATTGGAAAGACAGTTGAAGTATTTGATAGCTCGAAGGGAAAGAATAGGCAATATGTGGAGAAATTTGGTGTTATGATTCCTAGGATATTGAAGGCTCTTGCGCCACTTGAAGACAAGAAGCATATACTCCTGAAAATGTAATCTATCGTAAAGGTACCTATGAAGTCTAGATTGAACAAAACTTTATGTGATTACGGGGCATATGCACTCAAACACTTGGAATGTCACTTGCTTGGTCTTGACCTCGGTTTAGTGGATGACTAAATCATCATTGGTTGTTGACAGAAGATTGCTATATATGGGAGGCTGCACAAGATCCCATTTTAGTTAAGCTGATGACACAATATGTGCCTTCTAATTATGAGTCGTCTATTACCTTCGACCTCGTAGAAGACTGATTATGTGGGTTTGATTTGTAGTTTTTGTTTGATTTTTTCAGCTGATGACATATATGCCTTTTAAAACTCTAGTTTGGTTTTTTTTCTAAGAATGATGTGACAAAATGCTAATTCGTTTTTTTTTTTTAATTTATGTGACAAAACTCTAGTTTGTATAATAAAGATTTTCTATAATTAGTTTTTACCCTAACTAACCCCAAACAAACCCTAACTAAGCACTTAACGAATGCAAACTAAACCCTAAATGAACCCTAACAAAACCCTATACATAAGAACCTTAACATGTAACATTTGTTAGTCACTAATTGGGAGGTTTGTCAGTCGCTAATTAAGTACATTTTTCTTCTTGCTTTGCTTCATGTATTTACACTAATTTAGAAGATTTAAAGAGAAAGTACAAACGTTTAGGAGTAGGTTATACTCAGTTTTTTTTTGTTAAATTCTAGTGATCTACCTAAGGTACAGTACATGTTATCCGGGTATGAAACTACGGCGTTTTGTCAAATTGTTTGACCTAATCTTTTTTTTCTTCATTCTTGCACGACAGAGAGAAACCTAGGGGGCGAAAACTTGGAAATCGACTCAATCATGTCTTCAATCAATTCTCCATCAACGTCAAGATATCGACTATAAAATAACACGAAATTCCCACAAAATGCAAATGCGGTGAGGCGGCCGTTGTTTTCACTTCCAAACATTCAAAAATCCAGGAAATTATTTCACTGTTGTCCAATGGGATCTGAAAAGGTTAGCCTCTAATCGTATAATGATGAATTCAGTTTAATCTAACGGTATGTTGAAATTTCATGGTGAATGACAAAACCTACTTGTTCAAATGGACTGGTAAGTCAGCTGTTGAATAAATTGAAGACTTGGAGGAAGTGGTTGACGTGATGCTCATTGACAATTCCCAGATTCAGAATTCAATGAGAGCTTGTGAGACCTAGTTGAAACGCCATGAGAGTAGAATTTAAGATATGGAAGATACAATTGCACATTTTCAAAAGAAGACCACCGAATGCATTAGCGAATTAAGGATCATGGTGATGTTCTTCTGTACCTCACCTATCCATGATAGTTTGGTGATAATCAAATTGTTGTTCTGTTTTTTTTTTCAAATAAGTGTAAGACTATGTTAGTTGGTGTTTTTTGGTGATTATCATGACCTGAAACAAAATGTTGCAAACACCAAATCGTTTTGTCAACCAAATTTTCAAATAGGTTGTTCTTAAGGACAACATACCAAAAGAGTAATAAGCAAAAAAGAGAGAACAAAATACACACACCAGAAACTAAATAGGAACATCACATGTTCCTCTCTTGTGTCATGTGATACCACAGCGACTGCACTTGTGCTTTTTATTATTTCTTGATCCTTGAGAAGATTTTATCTTGTCTTCTATTGTTTCATACCTTTTCTTTACTGGTCTACCAGCACTCTTTGTTGTGTCTGGTGGTAAGACCTTCGCAAGTTTTACCTCAGTTGGGACATTCCATTCAGGTTCTGGAAGAACTATTGGGTTAATGCTTTCCGCATAGACTGTTCTCCATGTTGCAGTGGTGTATATGCCATCAGTAAATCTGTGTGCTTTCATACCTGTGTAAAAAAAAGATCGAGTAGTGTCTAGATGCTGCAAAACATCGAGCTGTAATAGGTCCCATCATGAATAAATTGCAGTGATGGCGTGTTTGCAAGGTATTTTCCTAAATCATACTTCCCACATGTGCATGATCTGTTTTTCAAATCAACATGACAATCATATTTGTCTCCTTTGAAAAGTGATCTGATATTGTTAACATGAAATCCTTTTGCCTTCACAATTCTCCTATCAATCTTTTTCTCAACCGTAACGGTTAAAGGATTAAGATGCTTTGAGCTTAAAAGTCAACGCTCGTAACCAACTGGATCATCATTTCTCTTATACTATCTAGCAAAGGAATAACTAGAAATTCTCTAGGTGATCTCATAACTGAATTTATCGACTCTGCAAAATTATTGGTCCTAATATCATACCTTAATCCAGGAAAGATAGAACGAGCCCATTTTCTCACATCATCTTTCCGTAGATATCTTCCAAGCACAGAACACATAATACTAATTTCGGTGAAACGTTCCTGAAATTCAATGAACCTATATGCCCATGAAGCTTTTTTACCCAAAGCAGTCAATCTTTTTGTATTGAAATTCTTAACCACATTGGTCAACAAGTGATGAATACAAATTCTATGTCTTGATTGAAACAGTACCAAACGCTTTAGCAATTGACACATTTCTATCTGACACAAAATCTAAGTCCTTACTATCATCTATAATGACATTCAATTGTCTAAGGAACCACTTCCATGAATCAAGATTCTCTGAATCAACAACTCCAAATGCAGTAAGATACATATTAGAGTTACCATCTACAGTTGTAGCCACAAGTAAAACTCCTTTGTATTTATTTTTCACAAAAGTTTCATCAACAACAATCACCTTACGAATGTCATTGTAGAATCCTCTAACTAATTGCCCAAACGAGAGAAATAGATACATGAACCTCCCATCCTTTGTAGTTTCATAGTGAGTATGCGTACAAGGATTAGCTTCTTTAAGCATATACAAATATTTTAGTTTTTTTGCGTAACTTTAATCTGGTATACCTCTAACTACTGCAATTGCAAACTCACGAGCTTCCTAGACGTGCCAATAAGTAATCTCACAATTATGCTCCAAGCGCATAAATTAGACTATGCCATTCACTTTTGGTCCTTCATTGGTATCCTCAAATCGATGTTGTATTAAACTCTCAATTGTTCTTGCCGACACTTTTTCCACATTTACTTTTCTTAGAAGGAGTACATGAATGTATTTCCACGCACTTTCTGATCATGAAGTATGTAGACCCATCTAGACATTGCTCACGCAAAGTCCAGTTGCACATTTAATCTTTACATCAAATATACCACCATTTTCTCGTGGATTTGAGAACAACGTAATTGAAATTACTGTTCATCACCCAAATTTTAGTTGTTGCGTTTAAAACAACTTTACTTTTGAATATTTAATCCTTTTTCACAAAACCTGTTGTCAAATCGGCCATCCTTATCGCCATCTCCATTGTTTTCACTCCTTAAACCAGCATCACCGGAACCATCCTCAGCGACATGTTTCTTCTCAGAAGACTCATTTGATGGTTTGAGAAAGTCTCCTTGATTTTTTTCATGAACTTCTTCATCCTCAACATTACTTGAGCCACACGGCTCCTTATTCAAATCCATATTGACTCTTTCATTTTCTTTTGCACCAGTACCAGACAACGTGACACACAAGATTGTAGACAAACCCTTCTTCGCTTAGGTCACAAAATAGATACTTCTCGATAAGTGCTGATAATAATGGGAGGATACCCTCTTTGATTCACCATCTCATACCTGAGCCCGGCATGAACGCGCATAAGGTCGACCCCATAATCCTCACACACAAAGATCTCGAGCTGCTCCAACAGAGTAGTAGTTTCTAATGTTACCATTCGACCATGCCTTTCTTTGTCTACCTAAAAACTCCACTGATCACTGCAACTTAACATCCACACGCCATATTTAACATAGATTAGAATCATGTTGTATTGATAGAGAGAAGAGATGGTTATGTCGATGAAGAAAAGTGAGAGACAAAGAAGAGACGAAGGAGAGAAAGATCATGGGAGGAGAGGAGAAAATCGTGGGGTGAATATATTATGAGAGATTTAGTTTCCATATTTTCAGGATTTACCTATAATATGTATTCTATGTAGAGAAGAGCAGTGAAGAGAGACCATGATGTTTATTCTGCACTACACGTATGATAAGGTAAAAGACAGAACAAGTTAAGACATAAAAAAGGTAGTCCACCGCGTCCTTGTTATAAGTCGTAATATTTCTCAAAGTAGACTAAAGACCTTTTTTCGAATACCACATGACAAAATCTAGCTAAGTCAGAATATGGAAGAAAGTTTTGTTTGTAATCTATACCAAGATAGATCTATGTAGAGCATACTATCTGATTTCTAGACTAAGTAGATAGTTAGAATGAGTATTCTATCTGTGCTATGGTGATGATTGTTTGAATAAGTTTTTTGTTTTTAGATTTTGGTTTTAGATTTTGGTTTTTGGTTTTTACGTTTTCGGTTTAGATTTTCGTTTTTTACGTTTTCGGTTTTGTTTTCAGCTTTTGGTTTTGATTTTTAGTTTTTAGATTTTATTTTTTTCTTTAGTTTTTAGTTTTTTCTAAAGCAAAATTAACGCATTATTTAAAATAATAACACAAAACAGAAATTAAAATATATAAATTTCCATTAAATTTATAAACATACAACGATGGTTGTTTAAAATAAAAATATAGGAACATGTTTTTCAAATGATTTACTTTAAAGTGTCATACTCAAATATAGATCAGAAAGTATCTATAAATTAAAAGATTAAAATACTTCCAATTTTAAAACATATATAGAATTTCTTATATAAAATATATTTATTTTAGTACTTGAATTGCTATTGTCAAAATTTATATAATATTAATTTTTTATGTTTTTATAACTTTTAGTGTGTCTAATAATTCTTAAAATTATTCAATAATTTTATGTATAGATATTAATAACTAAAGGTGAGCAACAAATATATATATATATATATATCAAAATATATTTACAGATATAACACACAACTAAATTATTGTACATTTTTGTTTAAATGATATCTTATCTACAAAAACTTGTATGCAAT